TACAATAACAGAAATAAAACGTCCACTGGAAGACTTCAAAAAGAAGAATGGCGATGAGAAAGAAAAAAGTCAATACACTTAAAGGTAGATCAATACAAATTATCCAACCCGGAAAATACAGAAGGAAAAAGATTTTGATAAAAAAAAAATGAACAGAACCTCAAAGAACTGTGGGACAATACCACAGGTGTTTACATCAGTGTTATCACAGCCCTGGAAGGGGAGGGGGAGAAATCAGTGCAGAGATATATTTGAGGAAATTATGGCTGAAAACTTCCCAAATCTGGGAAAGGACATGTATTTTCCAACACTAGAAGTTCAGCAAACTTCAAGTAGCATGAATCCAAAGAAAACACGCTCTGACTCATCGTGATCAAAGAATCAAAAACAAAACAAAGCAAAACATCTTGAAAAGACCAGAGAAAAACAACGTATTACACAGAAGGGACTGATGACTCAAAGGATGGAAGATTTCTCATCAGAAACCATGGAGATGAAACAACAAAACAAAACACAACAAAAGGTGGAATAATATTTTTAAAGTGTTGAAAGAAAAATACTGTCAATGCAGTTTTCCATACCCAGTGAAAATACCACTCAGTTTTGTCATGAGATCAGGTCTGATATTTTAAAACTTTTTTTTTTTCACCAAATGTCCCAAACATTATGACTGATTTGAGAAAGATAAAGACTGAACCTCTCCCTTCAAGAAACGTAGAAACATGAGCAATTCAGTGCCATGTAGACACTGGAGTCAAGGATGGAGCCACTGTAGGGTACACTGGAGACACAAAGGAAAAGGTACTTGTCTCTACAGAGGTAAAAAGAGGGAACCAGGTAAAGTTTCAAGAGGAGATTGTGTGTGACTTGAGTATTACAAGTTATATCCCAGTGGGTAGAAAAGCTATTGCAATAGACATTAGCAATAGGCAGAAACATGAATATAACCTGCAGTGGTTTTTTTGGTATATTTGGACAATTTAAGTTTTTTAGTTATTATATCTCTCTGAGCACTTTTTTCCCCATTCTGATGAAATTTCCCGCTGCCACTCCCTACAGCGCCTTGCCTGAGGGCGGAACCCTGTTCTTCCTGCACACAGAGCTCTCTGATGAGACTGGGGAGCTGATTAGTGCTCCTGGAGCAGCTCTCAGCCAATGACTGACGGGAGCTGACGAATAGAGCCCAGCCCCACGTCCCTTGGACGGGATCCCTCTGAAGCCTGTTCTCCACTGCGTCTCAGATTTCCCCAGTGGAATCAACTTCTGTGTGCCCATGGTGGTGAACTTGCTCAGTAATGTGCACATTACTGAGTTTCATCCCTTCCCTCTCCCTCTCTCCCATCACCTTGCTAGTGTTGTTAGGGGTCACTTCTCAAAAGTCTTGAACTTGTTCTACTTCTGAGAAAACTCAAACTTCAATCATTTCACAGGTTAGATTTCCAAGGAAGCAGATTCTGAAATGCAGATTTAGAGTTTATTAAGGAGTCCCCCTGGCATCACCATCTGGGAGAGGAGAGAAGGGAGCGGGGCTGGCAGAGGGCAGGGTTGGGCTGTAGTCGCAAGGAAGGTCCCCCCAGGGGGACCCTGGAAGCCAGTGGCTCTTGAGAGCTGCCCCACGTTGAGATGAGGGGGCTTGGTTTACACACCCTCATTGCAACCAGTCCTTAGATGCAGGTTGACCTGAGAAAGGGGACATGACCTTGAGCAAAGTCATTCTCTTTAGGTGCATGTTAGAAGAAGCTTACATTGCCCTGATGTTACTGCTGGTAGAAATACAGGGTGGGGCAGTAGCAGGCATACAGTTGTGAGTGCATGAAACACAGAGTTTATTCTTGTATTACCATTTTTCATTAACGTATTATTTTCTGTATGAACAACTGTAAACCTACTTTTGCCCAGCCCTGAATGTTCAAGGCAATTCCGGTGAGAGCTCAGGAAGCAAAGAGGGGGGCTGGAAAGAAAGCTTCTATTGTCTTAGAGGATGCATGTACCACTGGGAGCAGAATGCCGGTATAAATATGAACATTGGAAGCGAGTCTAGTGGGGCCTCAGACAGAAAGGAGGAGTACGCTACCAGGAACTGCAGGAAGCGCTATCCTTGTTACAAAGTGGCAACGAACTTGGCTGAATTGTGTTCTGCTGTTTTGTGGAAGGTGGAACAGGCAAGCCGTAAAAATGAATATTTAACTAAGAGTTCTGAGCAGTGCTGAGGGTGTAGCCTGGCTTCTCCTATTGCTCGTAGTAAAATGCGAGATGAGAGAGAGAAATCGAAGGAATTGCGAAGCAAGAAAGAACAAGACTAAATGACTTGGAACACTGTCAGGAAAAAATGCGAAAGCTCGCTCTAAAGAAAACACGCACCTCAAAAGTCTCGTAGCCCCCACTCCTCACCCAGTTCCAAAGGTGCTCGCTCTCACGGTTTTAGATGATTTGTTACAGCAGCACTCTACTTCATGGCACCTAAACCTGTTAGTCTGCCTGGGCCGCGATAAGAAACTATCACCGACTGGTGGCTCAAACAACAGAGATTTGCTTTTGCAGAGTTCTAGAGGCCTCAAGTCCAAGAGCAAGGTGCCGTGGTGGTCGGTTTCTGGTGGGACTCCCTCCCTGGCTCATGGATGGCTCCCTGTTCCCTGTGTCTTCCCACGGCCTTTCCCGTGTGCACAGGCGAAGGGACAGGTGCCCAGTGTCTCTCGCTCTTCCTATAAAGACACCTGTCCTGTTGGATTAGGACCCCACCTTTGTGACCACACAACCTTAATTACCTCCTTAAACACCGTATCTTCAAATGCTGTTACACCGGGGCTTAAGGCTTCAAGACACAACCTTTTTTGTGGTGGGCGGGGGGACGCAGTTCAGTCCCTCGCATGTCTTTATAAAGAGAATGGTGTGTGACGTGGTGGGCTAGGACTTCTCACACATAGATGTACACGTGTCTCACTCAGAACGTAAAGGAAGACAAACCCCAGAGCAACGTTTTATACAAAACAAAGCAGTTCTCTTTATTTCTACAAACATTTACAGAGACGCGACTACGAGCAAGATACTGTCATCAGAGGTTGTGAAAGATGCAAGAGTGAGAAAGAGTGTGTTGGGACTTCCCGCCGACTAGAAGAAAGGAAACCTATCATTGTTCTGCATTTCAAAGGACATCCCTGTTTCCATGCAGAGCTCTCGGAGAACGCGAAGCACCACTCACGGCTCTGCATTTGTCGGATTACATGGGAAGCTGGCAGTTGTTTTCCGAAACAAGTGTCTTGCTGGAAGAAGATGGTGCAGGGCAGGAATTCTGAAGAGGGATGGGGGACAGAGCCTGCAGGGTGTGTGTCTACTGAGGAAGACGGCGTGGAGAGAGAGAAAGGAGGGCGGAGGCCAGAGGGCGATGTCCACACCCTGAGGAAGTCTGGTCGACACGGAAACCGTGCACAGGTCCGAAGGGTCAGAGGGCCTGTGTTTCCCAAAGGCGAGGAGGATGGGGACCGGTGAGGAGGCAGTTCTGGTAATGGGCCATTTTTAAAGAAATAGCTTCTTAGTTTACTTGTTAGCAATGACCTCCACTTGCCCACCTTTCTGTACAAATTGGAAGCTTCCACGCAATTTCCTGACTATTTCATTCTTCATTCATTCCCTGTTCCTTTGCATTTCTGAGTCCATAGAGCCTGCAAGCACATCTGGCTGGTGTGTGCACCTCTCTGGGATCACTGGGCAGGTGGGGCCCCTGGAGGCTCCCCAGGTGAGGGGAAGCAAGTCTACAGCCCTGCTACTGGCCTCAGCGGTCATACCAGTGGCCCGCCTGCTGGGAGCTCCGCCCAGCTGGAAGTCCCCAGCTGTGCGTTTTCTGCAAGGCCGCCGTCTGCATGACTTCTTCACGCAGATCAGATCACGCGACAGCCCTGTGCGAAACTGCAGCGGCTCTCCATTCCCCAAGGGTCCCAGCTCCCAGCCTCCAGCCGGCCCCATGGCCCACCTCTCGGACTCCTGTCCCTCCACTCCCCCATTGCTCAGGCCCTCCGTCCCCTGCTCACTGTTTCTGCCGCAGGGCCTGACACTCTCATCCCCTCTGCTTTAAAAATGGTTTTTTCCCCAGGATTCCACACGGCTTCCTCTGCCTCCCTCACCTGCCTTAGCAAGGCTGGCCCTGGCCAGCCTGACCCCCCGCACACCCTTCTCACCCCACACCACACGCTCGTCCTCACTGCAGCACTGGTCAGGGTTGGAATTGTTTGTTGTTTCTCACTCTTCATCCAATTTTTTGTGAGCAGAAACCCCGTCTGTCTGTTCACAGCTCTGTCCCAAGCACGGGAGGCCCGCTGGCCCACGGTCGGTGCTTCGTGGATGCCTCCGGCCGGCCCCTGTGCCCGGGTCCCCTGTCGTCACTCCCCCCACCAGGCCCTCCCGATCCCCCGGCCTGAATCAGACTCCTGGCTGCCTGTCTCTTTCATAAACACAGTCATCTCCTCCAAAGCACTTTCACCCAGGTTTTCAGTTCACACGTATTTACGTTTACAGTTTCCATTCTCTCCCTGAGAGGGCTGTAGATTGGAGCAGGGCGAGGACTGCCCACCGTACGTACTTGGAGGTATACAGCAGATCCTCAAGTAACGTGCCTTTTTTCTAACGTTGCTTCATTATAGCGTCGATTAAATGCCACGGGGGCATAACTCTTGTTTATAGCAATTAGCCTGAGGCAAAATTGGTTCCATGATACAACGTTTTGCTTCTAGTCGCAGAAGGTATCGATGAGAAGAGAGGACCGGCTGTCCCTGTGCTGGCCACCACACATTCTCTCTGCCAGGCACACAGTAGGTCTCCCTTATTCTGGAATGAAGGAGAATTGGAATATTCCGTGTTCCCCCCAGGTTTAGCCAGACAGTAGAATATTTTAAAAAATAGCCGATGAAAGGCTAGGGGATACAAGTCTCGGTGGGGAAATGCAGAGATCCTTCCCCGGCTGGAACGTGCTCTTGCGTTTGCTGGAAGGCCAACAAGCCCACTGCGACTCAGAGGCAGACATCTGTCTCCGTTTCCCCAGCAGGACGCTGGGGCGAAAGGGCTGCGACCGACTCTTCCCGAGCTGGAGGAGACATCCCCGTGCGGCCCTCCAGGGCGAGTGGAGGACAGGCCGCCCCGTGGCTTGCACGCGGGCAGGAAGCCTGCTGGCTGTTGTCTGCAGGGAAGGCAGCCCCAGGGGACAAGGCTGGGTGGGCCTGGGCACGTGGGATCTGGCCCCTCCTGTCCTCTGTCCAGTAGTGTTGGTGCAGATTTGCACGGTTTTCAGGGGGTTCTCCTGTGAGGAGCTCCAGCTGCTAAAAGGAAAACGACAACAAAAAGGGTGACGACTTACCTTCTATGCACCAGACAGCTAACTCAGACGTGCGGGAAGGGTGTGGACGGGTGGGGAGTTCGCCAGAGTGGGCCTGTGGGCTGGCGGCAGGTGCTGGCCGTGACTTAGCCCACGTTCAGCCCAGAGCTGTGTCTCTTGTTCTCATTTGGAAAGTGGGCTAACAACACTGTTTACGGGGCAGGGAGGAAGACTGGCACGGGCGGGGGTCAGGTGACCTGAGTTCTAATCCTGAATCACCATTGGCTAGCCATGCGGCCACGAGCAAGCCCGTGCACTGCTCTGGACTTCAGCTTCTTCACATTTAGAACGAAGGGGCTGGTGCACAGCCCCGGAATCTGAAATGACTGCAGACTGAAACTCCGGTTTCCCACTGAGCGCACCCCGCTACGGTGGGCGGCACGCGGTCCCACCCCACGCCCCCTCGCCTCCTCGCCCCACGCCCCGTACCAACAGGATCCCTCCTCTGATTTGCCGAGCGCGGTCTCCTAGCTGGAACTCCAGCTCCTCCACCTGCTGCCGCAGGGCTCTGCGTAAGGTTCGCAGGTGCTCCGCCTCCTTCCTGCCGGTAAACAACAGAAAGTCCGATTTCACCATCGCCTGCACCCAAGGGCCGCCTTCCACTGCTCCTCTCAAAATGGAGGTCACTCCTTTGACAGTCCTTGCAAGAGAGTGGCCCCTTCTTCACGGGTAGCAGTTGCAGACACAGGGGTATTACCAGGGCAGGGTTTTTCTTTGTGAACAACTCTGTTGCAGAGTAACTTGCACATCATGAAGTTGACCTACGTTCAGTACAATGCAATGATTTTTAGTGAATTTATTAAGCTGTGCAACTGTTACCACTCAGATTTGGGATGCTTCTGCCTTCCCAATAAGAACCTTCGTGGCTCTTCACAAGTGATCCCTGGTCCTACCCCCAACCTCAGGCGACTACCAATCTCCTTTTGGGTTGTGTACTTTTTTTAGTCTATGTGAAAGTAACGCAGGTTGTCTAACTCATAAACCTGCCATTTGTACTTACATGAGACCATCCCATTGATTAAAGAACGCTGTTAGCTAGGGTTTCTTCTAATCCTGGCATAGCTTCTACCCAGCTACGGCCCACTTCTGACCTCAGAGGGCCCTGGCCTTCAAGCGTTCATGTGGCTGTCCAGCCAACAGCTCTCAAAGACTCCCACTGAGAGAACAAGAATATGAAAACCGGGGCAAAGCTGGCCAGTGGCTCCTGGGTGCTCCTCTGTCCCGCCCTGATCACCTTTCCTGGCTTCAGGTGTGTGGGCTGGAACTCGCCCTTCTGGCTCCCTCAAAGGAACGTGTAATTACCTTTCCTCTTCCGACATGTCCCTGGAAAAGCGGGCCTGCTGTCCTGTAAGGTGCTGTTCCATTTCCTCTAAATGCTCCCGGAAACACCAGCAGAGCGTCTGCATGGCTTCCATCTCGTGGGCTGTGCCCTGAGAACCATCAGAAAGAGCTCAGAAGGCCGTCCTTCTGATTCGCTGCCCGTTTACCGCGGTGGAGGCTGCCGTCCCACCTGGGTCTGGTCCCCCGCTTTGCCGTCCTGCTAACCTGTGGGGAAGAGAACTGGGAAAGCCCAGCCTCCGGCCTCTCCAAGCCACTGCAGGCAGCACTGGCTGGGACAGGAGGGCGGCGGAAGTTGCTGGGAGGGAAGGCAGTCTGGGGGAGGGGTGCCTGTAGGTTAGGGTGGGGGAAATGGCCAGAGGGAGGGCAGGTGGTTAGTGAAGTTGAGTCCACCCTGTTTAACTGTTGCTGGGTACCGCCTCCCTCTGCACCTCAGTAGCACTGAACCCATCTGTTCAGATGGTTGTATTTATTTAGGGAAAGTCTTCTAGGAACACTTATTAGTCTTAGCTTGGCTTAACCGCAGTCCCTGGTGAAATCCGGGGTCACCTCCAGCCAGCTAACAAGCCCGCCCACAGGAAGGCAGGCACGGCTAGGCACCCTGTCCCGCCACGAACTGGAACCAGGGACTGAACCACCCTCCCAGGCCTGCTCTGCACCACTCCTGAGGGGATCACTCGTTAAACCTTACTTTCTCTGTATGCTTTGGTTTCCTTATCTAAATATCTTCTTTCAGCCGCCAAGCCCTGCCCATTTGTCAGGCACTCTGCTGATCTGCTGAGTTCTTACAGGGCACCTCGTTCTCCAGCCCGGGTTGGACTAGGCTCTGAATGGACCCATCAACCAAACGCCCATCATCCCTACCCAACTGACCGAGTGACAGAAAAGCTGGCTGGAGCCTAATGCTCGCTCCAAACCCAGGCCCATGGGTTCAGACCCCCTTTCTGATTGGTGAGGCAGAGGCTGCTAGTTGCCTACCCGCTATCTTTCTCCCCTTCATTCTTATTAGCAAACTCTAGTAGCTTAGGGACAGCACTGTGTCTAGTAAAAAAGACTACATTCCCCAGCATTCCTTGCACACGGGAGAGCAAGGAGATGCCAGTGGAGAGCAGGATGCTGGGGCTCTGGGAAGCTCCTGAAAGGAGACTGATTTCTCAGGCAGGTCTCTTTTCAACCTTTCTTCTTCTTTCCATGGAAACCAGTCTTACAGCTATGTGAATTCCTCCCAGCCCTGCTTTGAAGAAGCCCCAGATTTCTTACCCTTCTCCTCAAAACCACATGGCCAAGATCCCGGCAGCCTGATGGTGTATTTTTTTAAAACTGGAATTATAATAAAAGTTATTTTCCTAGGAATACTATTTTTCTATTGAAAGCTCTCCATCATTTTGCTTATTAGAGAGTTCGGTTTTGATTCTATCCTCTAATTTTTATGTCAAAGAACATATTTGTATAGCAAAGCTCTCTAGTTACTTTTGCTTCCGTGTGAGTGCACCTGAGTTCATTAGAGGCGTGTCTGAGGCATTCTTGGTATTGGCAAGAGTGTCCGAAAGGTGACAATTACCTGGCTGGCATAGCTCAGTGGACTGAGTGCGGGCTGCGAACCAAAGTGTCGCAGGTTCGATTCCCAGTCAGGGTGCATGCCTGGGTTGCAGGCCATGACCCTCAGCAACCGCACATTGATGTTTTTTTTTTCTCTCTCTCTCCCTCCCTTCCCTCTCTAAAAATAAATAAATAAAATCTTAAAAAAAAGGTGACAATTATGGCTCTTCAAGCCACACAAGATCTTAGAGACCATGAAGGACTTCTTTTCGAGATAAAGTGCCGTGACCCAGAATGGTTAACCACATTGTCCAAGGTCAGAATGTGGCAGTCGAATTTCAAACTCAAGCGTGCCGGGTCATTCTTCTCTCTGAGTCACAGCGGGGGCTGCAGTGTGGCTGGCCGCCCGGAGAAGTTACTTGTCCCTTTGGAGGGACCTGATGTGTGGTCCTAGCAGATTCCTACATTGGACAACATTCCACGGCCAGTGAGACCAGGTACATGGACATAGGCTGCTCAAGCAGGCTTAACATCGTCATGACTGAATGGTCTGTTTCTTCTAGTTATTTTAGGTTTTGTACTTGGAAGGTCGGGTAGGGGCTGAGATACCTGGCCTGGGGCTCCCTGGCCATGGAGTAGGTTAGAAAATTCTGAAGCACTGCCACCTCCTGGCCATTTGGGAACACTGAACATACATCTGGACTCCAGAACAAGCATTGAAGGAGTTCCAGAAAAAAGAAAAACCTTCAGCAAATGAATGAATGAATGAATGAATGAATGAATAAAAGAGGATACTGTTCTGAACTCTTGTGCAATGTAAGAGCTGCGTTGTAACACAACATCACGCAAGGTCTGCTCTACTGGCCCACGCCACTAGCCCAGTTCAATGGCCAGAGCCACGCCACCCAGAAACAATGAACTTCTGAACTGGCTAAACAGTGTGTGCTTTCCTTTTTCTTTAAATCTAAATCATAAACTTTATAAAAAGAATTTCTTAATACCAAAAATCTAATTTATTATGATACATCTCCTTTTCTGGAAAATTTTTAAATGAACAAATCATTGTGAAGAATTCACTTATGCGCAAACATTTAATTATGCCAGTAAACCATCATCTCGGGGGACTCCCACGACCATGGAAATGGCATTGACCAGCCGAGTGTGTCTCTCTCTGCACTGGTACCTGCTGCCATGTGAGGGGGTGCGGCAGTGATGTTTTCCTGAGCTTTTAACCTAAAACGCTTTTAATTTCGGCATCTGCTTGGAACTCCCACTGTTGTCAAGAGATGGCATCAATCTCTGCCTGTAATCTCCACTTGGTCCAAGACCTGTTTTCTGGATAATTTTCTCATTAATTATGAACTTTTCTATCCTTCACTAGCAGCCAGCAGCTAACTTGGAGATGTTTCTCTCCAGGGTGTTTTTTGGGCCTGCAGGCCCGGGCTCACTCACTGCAGATGCTTTTTCTCTTCGTTCCCGAGTCTGTCCTTTCATTTAGTTAAGTGCCCTCTTGCACCGGTGAGTGAAATCCCTTACTTTCACTTGCTTTTCTGCCTCTGGGTGTGTGTGCACAGGAGTACAAATATGCACGTGTATGTGTGTTGTGGTTGTTTCCCTGGAGTGTATGTTTCTGGTTCCTTGGATTTAAAGAAAGAGAAACGCATTATCTTCTAGTAAAACCTAATGTAGTATGCATTGCAGCAGGTGTATAATGCTAAATCTGTTTGATATAAAAATATCATTTTTTGGTATGATTGCCAATTGTAAGAAGCGGGAGGGCTAAGCTGATGGGAGACCAGGTATTAGCAGACACGGGATGGCGATATGCATGCTTGTCCAAACTCCTGTTCCTTTAAGCCTTACACATGAGTCTGGGCTGGGCCCAGGAAGCCCTCACCTCCTGAGGATGTGCCACAGGTCACAGAGTCAGGTCAGGAGGAGTGACTCTCCGGTGGCCAGATCTCACCACACTGTGGGGGCTACTCAGAGTCGGGCTCACAGACCCTGGGTGGCTTGTGCGAGACTACACAGCTAAGGGATGGTAGGACAGAGAATGAGTTACTTTGACTGCATTGTAGATGAGGTTCCAATGCAGCCATGTTTATAACCTTCCACAGGGATTTATATAAGGTTCTACAGCCCTCTGTTCAACAGGAATTGAAAATGAAATTTGCCTTCCTTAACTCACAAGGTACCAGGAAGCGTAAAAGAAGCAGACATTTGTGAGAAAAGACCGTAAACCACAAAGCGCTCCACAAACACCACTCGTGATTTGCAACGGGAAGGTGTGCCCGAGAGCTTGTGTGGAGAAGGCAGCCCAAACAGCACCCCTTTGCAGTCTGTTGCCTCGTCTGTGCCACCCCCCCCATACCCCTTTTGGAGAGGTCATACTCACAGAGCACAGCTCCCTTACTGCGGTGTCCTGCAGGACTTCCAAGGCCTTCATGCACTGGGTCTCCAAGTGACCCTGAGAGCTTGGGCTGTGCCTGCAGGCTGAGGACACTGGGCCAGGGCCCGGTCCCGCCGAGTGGCAGTGGGGATGGTGGTGACAGCAGCCCCGGCAGTGGGCAGGTGCGGCACGGCAGATGTACACCGGGCAGCTACTGGGGAAGCCGGTGTCTAGGGAGACGGATTTGGTGAGGGGCTGGGCCTTGTTCCTTTGCACTGAGCAGCAGCGCCAGGACCTGGGCTCCCATTCACAAGTCTGAACAGAAACATCACTGAACTGTCTGGCTCCTGTCCCCAGAACTGGTCGTGTCGTGGTTACAGGGTCCCCCACAGTGCGTTTTGAACTTGTTCTTCCAGAAGGAGTCCCCCAGGCCACAGCACTCTGGGCAGCTGACACCAGACTGGAGGACAGCTGCACTGTCACGGACTCGGAGCCGGCGGCATCTGAGTCAGCGCCGGAAGGAAGGGCTCCCAGCTCAGGTTCTGTCCAGGGTGGTATCTGACCCAAAGCCCCACACCTTGGCTTTGCTTGGGGAGCAGCACCCCCAGACAGCGTATTTACGTGGGGTACAGCCTTTTCGGATGTGTGACTAAGGGCCACTGCAGAGGTCCTGACTGCGCCGTTCTTGGGGACAGGTGGTGGTGGACTTCCTCGTGTCTGGGAGCGGTGGCTGAAGTCAAGACAGGTGTCACTGCTTCCCGCTCCTCCCGGGGCCCCGGAGCCGGCGGGCAGGGACTTGTCCGGAGCACCATCCGTTCCCGGAGACGTGTGAGGCTCCCAGGGGGGGCTTTGCACGTGCACCTCCCTGGCTCCCTCAGGCTGCAGAAACCCATGGCCCCCTTCGGTCACCAGGAACTCCGGGGGCCAATCACCCCGGCGGGGAGTCCTGCCAATGTTGGCCTCATGCTGAGTGCGGGGCACGGGCGGGGGCTGCCTCTGGTGGCTGTCTTTCCCTGGGCGATCTCCTCCAGCGGTGGCCCAGCTCAGGGCCACATCTGAGGTGAACAGTCCTGGCTGCACCCCCATGGCCTCGGGCTGAGACTCCTTCTCCACCTCCAGTTCTGGGGACTTGTCTTCTAAGACATTCCAGTCTTGGCTAGAAAAGGACGTACTCGCCCCACTCTTGGAGCTGGACTCCTCGGAGTCTCGCTGGCAGTGCTGGGCGGACCCTAAGCGCGGGCTCTGGCCGCCTGGGCCTGTGCATCCCTCCTCGGCAGGGCCCTGGCCTGCAGGCAAGGAAGGCACCTGTGGAAGAAGCCAGGGAGGGGGCAAAGGCGTCAGGAAGGTGGGGGAGGCACTAGGCTTAGTATGTGCTTTCTTTTCCCCCCCTTTTGTTACCATCATGAAGCTCAGCTTATTTGTTTAGCAAAATTAAAAGAAAATAAAAGGCAGAGGAATGCTGAGCTTCCTGGCACCCTGTGTAATGTCCCCTGTCCCTTGGGGGCCTGGGGCATTGTCTTCTCAGCATCAACTGCCCTTTCTGATCTCAGCAGCACACTGGGAACTTGTACTTCCTCCCTCCCTGTTCCGACCCTTCTGGGGTGGCCGTCCACCTGCCAGGCTGGTGGTTCCGGCGGTTCCTCCAGGAACCCGCTGCTGTCCGACTGGCAGCTGTTGGCTCTGCTCACTGTGGCACCTGCGGAAAGGAGGGAAGAGGCCAGGGTGAGCACGGTGCGAACAGGCCGACACAACGGGGCTCCAAGCCCCCAAGTGCCCGACGTGCCGTAGACCCTCCAAACGCCTGCTGCAGGGAAGGAGAAGCGAGAGAGGCAGTTCCAAGAACTTCCCCCCCGACGGTCAGAGGGTCCATGTAAAACTGCATCACTGGTTTCCTAATACAAGGAGTACACCATGAAACAGAGCAGAGGCACTAACGTGTCTGAGAATAACAGTGACTGTGAAATGGGTCTTTACTGAGGGGAAGGAAATCCAGAGGGAGATGCACATGCCTTACATGTCATGCTAACAATAAACAATAGAACCCCAAATTCATACATCTGTATGTAAGTGAATGTTTGTGTACCCCCTGCTCCAAATTCACATGCTGAAATTCTAACCCCCAAGGTGGCAGTATTAGGGAGCAGGCCCTTTGGGAGGTTATCTGGCAATGAGGTTGGGGCTCTTATTAAGGGGATTAGTGCCCTTATGAAGGACACCCCAGAGAGCTCCCTCGTCCTTCCGTCCTTCCACCAGGCGGGGACACAGCAAGAGGTGAGCATCTGTGAGCCAGGAAACGGGCCCTCGCCAGACACGGGATCTGCAGGCACCTTGACCTTGGACTTCCGGCCTCCAGAACTGTGAGAAATAAACGTCTGTTGTTAAGTCACCCAGTGTATGGTGTTCTGCTCCAGCAGCCCAAATGGGCTAAGACATACATATTCTTATTCTTTGGGATAAACGTTGGCTGGGAACCCCTTACAAACCTCGTCTGGACTCTGCTTTATATGACCACCAGTCCCTGCTCACTTTTGACAGTGCTGCTCCTGTCATTTCGAGAGGCTGGGAGGGGCAGAGGAGGAGCAAGGTTGCATGTGGGCAGGCAACGACTCTCTAAGCAGGCCCGTCTTGAAATTCTAAGCCTGTCTGTACCTTCTTACATAAATAGCCGGTTATGTTAATGGGTGTGGGGGAAGTGGGTGGTGGCTAGGGAGTTACCCAGCCAAAGATGAAATGGTGGGATTTTTCCCTCTTCTTTAATGAGAAATGTGTCCAGCTACACTACAGTATGGGCTAGACCAGGAGGTCTTGGGAAGAGGGGGTTTGGGATGTAGTTTCCTCATAACACCAACAGCGGAAGGAGGAGAAGACAAGACAGGGCGTGGGTCTGGGGAGTGGGCTGAAGGGAAGAGCTGATGGCTGGCGGGTGCAGTGCTTGGATATCCGGTACCTAAGGGAGAAGTAGGGGATTTGTCTTGGCGTGAAGGACTAGCTGCTGCAGAAGACTTCAAAGGGAAAGACGAACAACCCAGCCTCTGCTTGTGTGTTCCAGGCCCAACGGTCAAGGTCAGCTCCACTACCAAGGGCAGCAGCGCCGCCTCCATTGTAGGACTGCCTCCGACCAGCCTTTCCTGCCCACGTGTCCGACAAAGTGGAGATGGAGTTCCAGGGGGTGGGGGGTGGTGTCTACCAGCCCACATCCCAGCTGCCTCCCCCTGAGGTCAACATAGACAGAAAGAAGCTTAGATTTGTAGAATTAAAAATTTATAAACTCCATGTTCGTGAATTCACTTCAAATAAAATGAATGGCTACAAGTCAGAGGATGTCAGTCTTCAATGGCTGAAGCCTAGAGAGATGAAGGAAATTTGAGCAAAGTTTTGAGGTCACAATGTCCTTTGACACAGCTGTTATTTCGTGTCACATAATGAAGGGTACACTTACTAGTCATAGACCTAAACAAGACCTCTGCTTCTGGCAAGCTGGAGTAACAAAAATGAGATTCCCCTACTACCTAAACAACTAAAAAACTGGACAAAGTCTATGAAAATACAGTTTGGGGAAAATGGACCTCAGGTCATTAAAAACACAGAGAGTGTGAACCCTACAGTCACCCTGAGAGCGTTTGCAGGTCCTGCTGCAGGGCCAGTGACCCCCCAGGCTGGGGAGGCAGAACTGAGAGTCTGGAAGGACAGTGCCAGCTCCAGCTCACAGAGACAGGCGTGGGAAGGAGAGAGCTGCACAGAGAGAGAACTCGACGGGGCCCCGTTGAGTACGCAGCTGAATACTGATCAGCTTGTGCACAGGAGAAGACCCAGAAGACTGTGGAAAGGAGCATGGGGAGGGATTAGAAGACACAATGCCCAACACTCACCCAGGCCTGGAATGGTGCTCGCTCCCTCCAGCCAGGGGCCCAAGCCCCGTACTTCACGGAGCATCAGCAGGACACAGCACTCAGCCGGGTCTTGCCTCAGGACTGAGGAATAATCAGCCCTCAAGTGGGTGGTATTCCCACCTAACAGCTCTTAAAGTGAAGATCTAAAATGATCAAACTGTCTCCAAGTAACCCAACTGTGTCTCAGACCTAAGCTGAAGAATATTCACGGCAACACAGTAACACCCAGCACCCACTGGTCAAACCCACCATATCCAGCATCTCATGAAAACTACTAGGTGTGCAATGAATCCGGAAAATATGACCCATAGCGAGAAGAAAAAATCAAAATCAATCCATGGAAATGAACCTAAAACTGACACAGATGTGAGAATTAGCAAACAAGAACATGAAAACACTGATTATTACTATTGTCCATATGTTCAAGGAGCACAAGAAAAATTAAATGTGTTAAGTAGAGATTACGAGATATTCAAATACACCCAGGTGGAAATTCTAGAGGTGAAAACTGCAGTGTTTTAGGTAAAAGTTATACTAGATGAGATTAATAGCGTTTTGGAAATGGCAGAAGAAAAGAGCAGTGAAACTGAAGACAGGGCCATAGAAACAGTCCCAAATAAAAGACAGAGGTCACAAAAACAGGAATTTAAAAAACCGAAACAGCATCAGGGAACCTGGGACACCTCCAAGCAGCCGAGTTCATGGGTAACTGGAATGTCCCAAAGAAGACAGGGCACACCAGACAAAATGTTTCCAAGAAGTGTTTGTTTCGAGAAGGTGAACCAACCCCAAACACAAGAAATAGGAAGAAAACTGTAACCAGGCACATCCAGAAGAAATTATCCAACACCAATGATCAAGAGGAAAGTCTTAAAATAGGCCAGAGAAAAAAAGACACATGACATGCAGAAGAAACAAAGGTGAGAAAGGCAGGAGATTTCTCATCGGAATAATTCAAGCGAGAAGAGAGTGAAGTAACCTCTTTAAAGTACTGAAAGAAAAAAAAACAACCCTGTGTGGGTGTGTTTTAAAGATTTGTTACCAAAATCTTTTAAAAGATACTTGACTATTTAAACAAAAATAAGACAAGGTAGTATGGGGTTTATAACAAAGACTTAGAAGATGGAAAAAAAACCCCAAACACCTGTTAGAAAATTGGTTCATTTGCATGGAAGGAACTGCCTGTACAATTTTCCTTTAGCTGTGATGCACGATTTTTATCCAGGCTTTAACCTGGGTGGATAGAATACTTGTTTACTTGTTGTCAAAGGAAATAGTGTACATGCATTGTGTATAATAGAAAATTGTGCAATGATTTCTACAATATTGTGCAATATTTAACACTTCACTGCTCTTGTTATAATTCACTCGGCCAATATTAAAATTCTTCAGATCCTTTTAGAGTTAGAAAGAAGCCTACTTATAGCAACTCTGGGCATAAAATAAATGGTGATTATAATAGAAACCTTTCAAAAGCTCAATGCAGACTTTCAAAATTTTTTTGGTTCTATTCAAAGGGCTGGAGCCTCTCCGAGGACTCTCTCTATGCAAACCTCCTGGTCAAAGCCCGCCTTGTGTGCCTCAGGCCCCACCACAGCCCGTTCGCCCTGCATCCCTGCTTTGTCTCCACGCAGGGAACAAAGCGAGCAGACAGAAGAAGCGGGCCAGACGGCACTGCCCTCTGCCCCTCCCTCTAACCCCCAGGCTGTGGAATGAATAGGGGCGGGGCCCAAAAGGTATTCACCCCGAGGGCCTAACCTTGCTGAAGGATGGACAAAACAGATCTGGAACTTCTTGTCTGTCTACATGCTTTGGTGCAGAGTCTGCACCCTAAGCTCTGAAGGGTCCTGGCGCATCCCTATTCTTAACACCTTCCGGACAAGCTCTATTTTGGAGTGAAGGCTCCACGTAAAATGTTTGCTGTGCCCTGCTCACACCTCTAGGAGCTGCTGCATTCAGAGTCTGACTCTCCCACTTACTCATGGCGCGATCCTGGGCCTGCCACTGTGCCCTCCGAGTCTGTTCCTCACGGGGAAAAAATGGATATGGTAACAATATTTTACCTGTGGGGTTGCAGTGAGAACACTATCCAATAATATATACATGAAGACTTATGCATATGTAGAAAGATGACATAATGATAGATATAAATTTTTGCTGAATAGCATCTTAATATTAACGAACTACTCAATTACTATTTATTAATATCAATTTCATTAGTGAGTATAATTATTAATATTAACATTTACTAGAGATTCCCCTTTGCAGCACAGGACTCCTTTCACAGAGTTAGATTTTGCCTTCCCCACAATGGTGGATGGGTCCACCTTCTGAAACCTCTCTGCCTGGGAGGAGGTGACGGACGCCTCGGGCACTTTGTCCGGACGAGCAGCAGGTGGCAGCCTCGCACCGACCGCAGCGCAGCACGGAGGAGCCAGGGCCCTGCAAGTGAATGACATGGCTGTCTTCTAGGGAAAGTCCACTGAGGGCTGCTTTTCTGAGCTGGCCTGGTAATAGAAGCTTCCGAATCCTAATGGCCAGCTTCACACTTAACTTAGCCTGAGTTCCGAGTGGCTCGGTGGGGAAAAGCCTTTGGAATTACGAGGTGAATGAGGGCAGAGAAAACGGCAGGAGGCTTTCGGGGGCGAGGTGCGCTGGAGTTGTGTCAAGCCAAAGGAACATTCAGCCTGAGACTCTTTGGGGGCTGCCCTCTTCATCTTTCCTTCACCATTCTACTTTGCCCACCCCTTTGCCACGTTCCTCTCTCTCCCGTCCCCGAATGGTGGGAAGTTCCGTGACAACTCTG